GTGCGACATCTGCATACCAAGTTTCAATACTATACCATGAACACTTTCAGAGATATGCAATATGAAAAATTCGGTTTGTATGGGAGGTGCCACGCCGTCTTCACCTAGCGGTATGAAATATACTTCACGACCTATTCTCATACCTACCAAATATATACCAAAAATTCCGTACAAATCGGACGAACCGTTTCGGAGGAGTTCGACCATACACACCGTGACACGAGATTTTTATTTATTAGATATAATTTAAAAATTACAATAACTATCTAAATAAAAAAAAAATATATAAAAGAACCCCGCGCCTGCACTTGAACTTTTTTATGGCACAAGTATTTATATTTTTCAAATTTGTATCTATCTATTTAAATTGAAATTATTAGATATGTATATAAACTTACATTAATTTAACTTGAAAAATCTTAACCGCCTCCAAGCGGACTCGAACCTGCGATCTTGGATCCAGAACCACTGGTCTTCACGCGACGCCACAGCCGCCATTTGTAAGAAAAGAAAAAATTTTTTTTTTTGGCTTTGGCAATTCAAAGGCAGATGTCATTGAAAACTTAGGTTCTTCGGAATTGTTGAACTGGTAGGCCATCGCTTTAGCACATACTAGTTAATGAACTAGTATTTTTACTGACTGGTTTGGCTTTTCACTGCAGGGTATGCACACTTACATATACATACATACTCAGATGTGATCATTCAAATACGTGCGTGCTAAATTTTGATATGAAAATATTACTTTTAAATATAAAGTATTCATTTTTACTATGCATTATTTTCCACAGTATAGGGTGCCAGAAAGCTTGCTACGGCTCTGTAAATATCCATTCTCATTACCAGGGAACGGATTTTTAGGGCCTAAAGACCTATAAAAAAGGCAAAATAAAATAACGAAAAAGGCAGGAAAAGGCACTAGGTATTGCAAAAAAGGCAAAACAAAAAAAGCAAAATTAGGCACTAAAAGAAGACAGAAAATACGAAGAACAATCAAAAAATACATTTATTTTAGAAATGTTTATATTACAGGTAAAAAGAGAAAAACTATGAACTAGTTTCATTATATGTAAAATTTTTACTTTGAATCTTTGACTATTTTATCCGTTCGAGTTTCTAACTCATAGAACTTTAATCTGTATAGTTGTAGTAACATTGAACCACAAGATGCATTTTGAAGTTTTCTGGCAGCACTTTTATTCGATTTTCGCGAAGAAAAGCCTTGAATGTGCTAAATGTGCGCTCGACGTAAGGTAATACAAGTGGAACCCAATTTAAATATGGAACGTTTGAAACGTTCATATTATCAGGAATGAGGGCGTTTTCCTCGCCCTTTACAATTTTATCCACACCCCTTATTGTCTTCAAGCCTACGTTAGCTGAGAAAACGGCTTTGAATTTTTCCAACACCAATTTGGTAAGAGGTCCCTGCGCTTCTATAAGCCACATGGGCATGTGTATATTTTTTAATCTTAAAAAAAAAATTGTAAATGCTATAATCACTTTTTTAAAGGTAGAAAAGGCAAAAAAGGCAAATATCTTAAAAAAGGCAAAAAAAGGCAACATCAAATGTGTATATATAGAATCAGGTAAAGCTAAATCGTGGACATTCTTAATCGAATATACTCTCTCTCGTTAGCAGAAAAAAGGGCAATATCCATAAAATCCGTTCCCTGCTCATTACTAATGAGTCACTACTAATCAGACAGTGAGAATTCCTATTCTCATGAAAAATGTTTTCATCGTTTACGAGAACCTTTAAACAGAATTGGTCCTATCGAACAGAAGGTAATCGAAAAAATACAACTAAATACATATAAAACATTGCACTTTAATTTATTATCTGGGCTTGAGATAAACACACTCAGGGCTATCACTGAATCCATCGTAGAAAATCTACGAATTCGGATGCCTGCTACGAATACGAAAAAATTTCTATCACTGAAATATCGTTTCCAGCTTTGAATGCTGAACATTGAAGATTCAAAATTAGCTGGAAAGGAAACAATAGACATTTATGTATGTCATTTTCCTCACCCTGCCCCAGCAGTGGCAATGTCCGAGTCAGCAAAGCACTGGTCTGCCGTTTGAGAGATCCAAGACCTCGGGCAGTGGAACTTTTTTTACTTTTTTATTTTCCTTTTATTATTATTATTTTTTTAGCTTTAGATTTTATTCTTTTAAAAATAAAAATGCTTGTATATTTAATTTTTAATATTTTTATTGAGCTTTTGTACCACGATTGTTTATTAGGAAAAATTGAAAAAGCAACAAAGTCTAAGCGGTAGAAGTTATAGCAGCTATTTCGGAGATCACCACATCTCTTCATCAGCCTTCTTTTTTCTAGACTTCAGCAGGTATCGAACCTGCGAATTCGATGTACAAAGTCAGAAGCGTTAACCACTGAGCTATNAACTACTATCAAGTGCAGCTGATTTGCCGCTATTTAAACTCGTAAAGCGTGGTTGTTGTTGTCATTCTATACATCCATTTGCTTATTTGCTTTTTTGTATAGTTTCAGGCAGGCTCTTCCTAAACTATGTATTTGTCAATGTTATTGTGGCTTGTTAACATTTTATTTTTAATATTTTTATTGATCTCCGAAATAGCTGCTATAACTTCTTCCGCTTACGGCTTTGTTGCTTTTTCAAGTTTTCCTAATAAACAATCATGGTACAAAGCTCAATAAAAATATTAAAAATAAAATGTTAATAAGCCACAATAACATTGACAAATACATAGTTTAGGAAGAGCCTGCCTGAAACTATACAAAAAAGCAAATAAGCAAATGGATGTATAGAATGACAACAACCACGCTGTCGAGTTTAAATAGCGGCAAATCAGCTGCACTTGATAGTAGTTGGTTGAATAAGGAAAATGACTTAGCAACAAGAGCTTACGGGATGTACATAGCTCAGTGGTTAACGCTTCTGACTTTGAACATCGATTACGCAAGTTCGATCCCTGCGGAAGTCTAGAAAAAAAGAAGTCTGATGAGGAGGTGTGGTGATCTATGAAATACCTGCTAGAACTTCTACCGCTTAGACTTTGTTGCTTTTTCAATTTTTCCTAATAAACATCGTGGTACAAAGTTCAATAGAAATATTAAAAATAAAAGGTTAATAAGCTTTTATATTTAAATTAATTTTTAAACTATGGTATTTTTTATTTATTGAGCTCGAGTCCCAGCAAATACATAAAACTCCGGTTTTAGTTTCATTAATTTTATTGTCGATATTTCGACCTCATTCGATAATTAAAATGAATAAAACTGAAACTGCAATTTTATGTATTTTCCGAGTTTCGAACTTAATAAATAAAAAATTATCATAGTTTATAATTCAAAGGCCCTAAACCAAAAACAAATAAATTAATTTTTAAGATATTGAAGTATTTAGGTTTCTTTTCTACTAAATTGTTGTTAAACTAATATTTCCTCGCTTCATAAAAAATATTCATTTAATAAATAGCGTCTACAAGATAAATGCATGCCATTGGTATTTTACGTCTACATTTACACAATTATATGGAATAATATGAAACTATAGCGAATTTGGAGTATAATAAATATTTATCATTAACAATGATGAAGCTGTTTGCATTATTTTTAAGATTCACCGATCCTAAATTTTTTTCCGACAGCAAATTAGTCTAGACTTAATTTCCGTAACTTAACTTACCTTATTTTTTTACCCAACCTGTTATATGAGAAACTTTGTTGGCGGTTAGTTAAAACTTAACTTATCGTAAGAGACTTAAAACCTGTAGATATTAGGTTCTTAAGTTACGGCCTTACGGAAATTGAGAGCGGTGAGAGAATCAGGGTTACCAGACTCTCGTTTTTGTATTTCTTAAAAATAAATTAAAGCAAACATTTTTGTTTGCATGATTTTTTTTGATGTAGCATTTTAGGCGGCGAACTGTTGAACAGTTGAAAGAGAAAATACAAAAACAAAATATTTCCGTTCTTGGCTTAAGTTGACGCGTTGAGTAATCATTGATGATTTCTTAGGGTAAGTTAATTCAAGTTAAGTCTAGACTAACTGAGCTTTTAGACTCGTCGTAGACTAGCTCTACAACTCTTCGTTATGAGCGGATTCAATGAAGGCTCTGTAAGAATTTCGAATTTAAGTTCGTAACTATTCGGACTCAGTGATAGCACTTTCGTAGGTTTCGATGGATTCAGTGATAGCCCTGAATATGATAATTACACTACAAACAGCTTTCATTTCGCAATAACAAACAGGAAATATTACGCGAGTTGGCCACTTTGACCCAAGCAAAGCTGCCTCTGACGGTATTGATTTCGATCGTGGAACTATTTAGATATAAAGTTACCTTTGATTTTCATCTGTTACCCAAGAATTTTGAGTAACTCAATAATAACCAATTTAAAATACTTTATTTCTGAAAGTATATCGGAATGAAGTGGGTATTTATGGACAAATGTATGTACATATGCGTGCACATTGATCTATCTGTATATATACTTATACGCATTTATCACATAAACGTCTTTATATACGTACATACAACCGTATTAGTAAATGTACACTAACACACATACAAGCGTAAATAAACAAATCGATAAGTATATATTCTCGTTTATTGTAAAAATCGTGTCGTGTTCATTTAATGTTTGTATCTATACAGATTATCCTTCTGTTAAAACTATTAATTTACTCTCATTCTCTAAAAACATTCCATATTTGCATACAACTGTCAATATTATTTTGTATTAAAATTGAACAAATTCTTTGTTCTAGTTGTATAAATGAATTTTAATTTCCATGAGAAAATTGAACATAGCAATAAAAATATACATAAACTATTATGCTTTCTAATTTTTTGTATTAACTCTCAAATACTTTTCCATTGCCTCTTCTACTTCTAAAACGATGATTTTCACATTATGCAAATTAAAAAAAAAACACGAACAAATTTAAAACCACTCAACCTAAAATATGTCAATATGCTGTGTTTTCAAATGTGGATCAAAGGTGCTCAAGGTATACGAAACCATTCAATTAACATAAGTACATGCCATAGTGCAGATTTGTTTTTGATTTTTTTGATTGATAAGCAACAAAGTAGATAGCATTAATATATCTTAATTAAATTTTTTTAACTCTTTCGCTAATTATTAGACATTATTTGTTACATATATTACCTTCTGTTGAGTAATTAAATTTTTCTAATTCACAGCACATGAATGAGTGAATGGTATACATACATATATATATATATATACTTACATTTTATGCCAGTTCAATTCAGCGTTGTTTACTAAAGTCAGAATTTTTGCTCTGTTTTTAAAAATATAAAAGCATAACCATAGGGCCACGTTTATATACATAGAACATGCATTATACACGTGTGTTGGTATAAGAAATTTAAATTTTTATAGCTTGTGTGACTGTAAGTGAAAATATACATATATACACCCAATTTGCCACAGAGCGAGGACGAGTTGGAATCGACGTCGGTCTGGTGAAGTTGTTTGGGTGAACTGCAAACGACGTCGAAACGAAGTCGTTGTTTCCATACCAACCGCAACATCGTTCCGACCTCGTTTTTTCTCATCGAATCGAAGTGGGTACGACGTCGGTTTGGTGAAGTCGTTTGTGTGAACTCGAAACGACGGAGAACCGAAGTCGTGTTTTCCATACAAAATACAAGGTCGCACAGTAGTCGGAGACAAGGGCGTATCCAGGATCTGATGATGTACCAAATAATGAGTTTACTACCCATATCTAGATCATAGATCTGTTTAAAATGCTTCGCGTTCTTTTGTACATTTTTACTGGAACATTTAAGCTCTACCCAACAGCGGACGGCGGTAACTGGCTAACCAGAAAGTAGTACCACAGCCACAAGCTATTTCGCTAGCTACATCAGCTACATGAGCAATAATGCACCACAACCACAGCAACATATTGTGTCCAGTTTAGTGCATTTAGAATATTTTAACTTTTGACAGCTCTTGCTACATACCACAGTCTCACCAGTAAGTGAAGAGCTGAACAGTTGCAGCAGTGAAATCTGTTAAAGTAAACACACTCAACACAATCAACACTCAATCAACATTGTGCCGTCCCAGCTGGGCGGTGAAAATAGAAAAAAAATTTAAATCACCCGAAAAAGTCGGCGGTAAAACGCTTCCGCCGCAATTATGAGCCTTCCATACGCCTTTGTGAGTTTTAATTTTAACAGCGGCTAACCGACGGCCGCTTAACCGCTTTAGAGCTTTAATCGTATACAATGGGTACGGTGACCATCCGTCCTGTATTATACGGGACAGTCCTCTTTTTGGACCCGTTGTCCTGGCAATTTATTTATTTTATACGGGACGCCAAATGTTCTGTATTTCTTTTAATGTCCTGTATTTGTCCCGTATTCGGTGTTTCGATGCCTTAACATCTCATTAAAAAGGCCAGCCTATGAACGAGTTTTAAGTGATCTGAATGCCTGTGTTTCGATTCGAGGAATACATACAGTGGCCAAAATAGAAGCTAGGACTCGACATTTCAGCAAAGTTTGGCTATTTTTCCTTAGTTTATTTAACGTTTATTATTCTTTATGAAAGTAAAGAAAGCTCTTTTCCTAACAAAACCATATAATACTGTTTAAGTGCGATTGCTAACACCAGGCGCCTAAATTCGTGCTATGTGCTGCTGAAGTCCAAAAATTTCCTTCATTAAATTAATGAATGCACTTCTCAACTGCCATGTAATAAAGTTATAATTTGATAGCAGTTCAAAGTATGCTCGGGCGATGCGTTTCGATAACTTATGTTTTGGAACAGTATACATTGTCAATATTTTGTAGTTCGACGTTATGTTATACTTTGTACGTATGCAAAGCAATTGACGTTTTGGAAGTCAGCCATACTTACCTACTTTGTATGAAAAAGATGCTCAACATCGTCAACAACAAAAAAAAAATATGGTCAAAAATTAACGGTAAGTCTTAGCGACTTCAAAATCGCACTTTATTGTACTTAAATTTAAGGTTTCTTTTTAATTTTGTGGGTAAAAATCTCGGGGAAAATTTCCTACAAATTTGTGATGTTACTACAAGGATGCTATTTCAAGGCTAATACATCTAGGATTATTGAAGAAGGCTTTAAGATCAATAAGTTTTTGTGGAAAAAATGTTCAAAATTATTTATTGTCCCGTATTCGGCTCCCATAAATATGGTCACCGTAACAATGGGTGAAATGGAGACAGCGAAAAAGCTGGAGTATTTTCATTAGAAAAGCGTAGTTGTAAAGAGGACTTTAGCGAATCGATACGGTTTTATTATAGACCGTCGACAGTACTCATTTTCATTGACCGATGGGGGTTACTTCTGCTTTTTTGTTTACCTGCCAAACGTGGTAGTGAAATTTCAACTCCTGCATCGGCGTAGTGACTCCTTCTGCATTCTTGCGATCATTCCCAACTACCTCCAAAATGAGGTCTAGTTATTGTCTTCATTTTCAAAACGTTTTCTGTAGGTTCCAGCAACGTTTAATATTTAGCACTTGTCATTAAAGCAATGATGAACATCGGATATGTTATAGATGCACACAATTGATACGCAGACATTCTTGTGGAAAAGTTTCCCTGAATTGACAACTTTTCTAAAGCTTCCACAACTTCAGGAAAATTTTCTGAAATTTCCAGATACACCTGCGTTCAACTAATTAGAAACGAAATTCAAAATGATATTGTTTGGAAATTATGTTTATTATTTTATTAATAATTTTCTTTAAAGTATACCTCAATCTGTAACAGAAACCACAATAATAAAAGTTTCAAAGCTTGCAAAAATTGCAAAAAAAATTAATCAAACTTCAAAATTTTCAAATTTGTAATCAGAATATTTAGAAAATGTTCGGGTACGCAGTTCTGTAGCCCATTCCGTTGTAGTCTAAGAAAGTGCAAGTCTCAAGACGTTAAAAATTACCGTTGATTTTTTAGAATTTGTTTTGTGAACAGTGTTGCGCATTTTCTTCCATATAACACATGATAAAAATTTTAAAATTTTTAAAAAATCAACGGTAATTTTTAGACTGGAGACTTGCACTTTCTTAGACTACAATTGAATGAGCTACAGAACTGCGTACCCGAAAATTTTCTAAATATTCTGATTAACAATTTGGAAATTTTGATGACAACTTTTTGAAGCTTAATTATTTTTTGTAAGCTTTGAAACTTTTATTATTGTGGTTTCTGTTACAGATTGATTTATATTTTAAATGAAAATTATTACAAATAAAGAAATAAACATAATCTCCAAACAATAACATTTTGAATTAGTTGAATACAGGTGTAGCTATATATTTCGGGCCATCTTGTTTCACGCAAACGTGATATATTTATTAGAAGCACAATTCTTGCGTGTCGTTGATTCGCGAAAAAAAAATTTATCATATCTTTTAGGGTAGAAATAGTATTTCTTATTTCTGGAACCTCGTTTAAGTCATTCACAACAAGATTTAACGCAAGAGAAATTGTTTATTGATATTTGAATATTTCTCCTTCGTTTTGTAGCTTTCCCTACCTGGCTACGCCCTTGGTCGGAGAAGCCATGTTTACGCGAAAAATTAGAAGGGCTGTTACGATTATAAAAAACTACAGGATCGTGATATTTTTGTAATTCTTAATCCGAGCATGCCATAAAATGTATTGTTTAACACTTGACAGCTGTCAAATTAACTGCTAATTTCTCTTAAATTAAGAAAATCTATTTGAAAATACCACTTGTAGGGCTTTAGGCATGCTAGTCACGAATTAAATATCAAATTAAAACTTTGAGGATTGACAGCTGTCAAATCGACTGTCTATTTTTTCTAAAAATAAGATAATATTTTTAAAAATTCCACTGATAAAGTTTTTAGGCACGCTACTCACAAATTTTATGTCGAATTAAAACTTTAAGAGTTGATGGCTGTCAAACGGACTGTTCATTTTTCTAAAAGTAAGAAAATATTTTTTTAAATGCTACTGATAAAGGTGATAGACACACGAGTCACGAATTTTACATCAAATCTGTCGAATGGGCTGTCAATTTCTCTAGAAATAAGGAAAATTTCCCAAGAATTAAACATACTAGGCTTTAAGGCTCACTGAGCTTGAGTTCTAAATATATCACATTTAAACTTTTTCCGTTGACAACTGTCAAATAAACTGTAATTTTCAGTTGAGTAGTATAATATAAATATTTATTTATTCAACAAAATTATTGATTTATTGTATTCCAGGGAACATATTTAAAATGAATTTATAATCAAATTATGAAATAATAACAGTAATTATATTTATAAATAGGGGATTGTTGGGGACGTCTGCTATATATTCAGCCCAAACAATTTGACCTTGGCCCCCATAGTTTTCTTAAGATTTTTTTTTTTTAAACGAAATTCATCATTTCCAAAACTTCAGTTTTCTTATTCCAATTACCAAATTTCACGAAAATTCAATAATTTGTTTAAATCTCGGACGCCACTTTGGATTTTGTATTTTGAATTTTCAAAAACTAGTCTTGGGCGCCATAATGGATTCGCTAGCTTGAATTTTTGAAAATTGACTTCAGGTTGCTTAAGAGACATCTTATATATATATACATTACCAGGGAACGGATTTTTAGGATCTAAAAACCTATAAAAAGGCAAACGAAACAGCGAAATATTTAGGCTAGAAAATTTAAAATAAAATAGCGAAATAGGCAGGAAATGGCACTAGAAATCACAAAAAAGGCAAAAGAAGGCACTAAAAAAGGCACTCAATAAGACAAAACCGAAAAACAATCAAAAAATACATTTTACAAGTAAAAAGGGAAAAACTATGAACTAGTTTCATTACATGAAAAATTTGTGCTCTGAATCTTTGACTATTTGCTCCTTTCGAGTCTTTAACCCACAAAACTTTAAAGTAACATTAAAGCACAAAGCACAAGATTAATGGACCAACTATTTCATAGCTCAAAGAAGTACACGAACTGGAAACCAAAAATATACAAAAA